ATGAGGGGCATTGCCAGTAGCTCGATCTGCGGCAGCTTTCAGAGCACCAGCAGTAGCTAAATACATCCTTGCAAACACAGTAGATGCAGGGATGTCTCTTGAAGATTTAGGGATGCATGGAAGTACAGTTGGAGCTATAGCAGCTGCTGTGTTAGAAATTCCAACATCATCATTACTCTCCATTCCTCCACACACATGTCCTGCATTACCCAAGCATGTTTTATTCCCATTAACCTGGTTTTGTAGATCATTAATTTGTATCCCTTTTGCATTGTTCCCAGTAGTAACTTGTTTATCTCCTTTAGTTTGCACACCCTGCTTCTCAATATCATGCTCTTTCCCTGATTCACCAATTAGTTTCACATTTTCTTTGTTCGAATTACCTGTTTGTTTTCCTTCTTCCCATTGCCAAACCTGCTGCTCAACCACATTATTCTTTGATGTCTCCCCTACTATTTGTACTGCCTTTTTTGCATTAAGATAATCCCTCGCATCACCTTCTAGCTTGTCCAGACTCTGTCTCTGTTGAAGGATCAAGTGACTCATTTTCCTCTTTTTCCTTTTGTGCTTTAGACTCCTTTTGCTTCGAGTGCTCTGGTATAGCATATCTGACATCTATATGAAGAGCATTTTGGCACATAGATAGGACATTGGTCGCAGAATTCTGAATATTCTTTTTAAACTTGATATCTTGAAGTTTCTGTTTTGTTGTTTACTTTTTTTAATTAGGATTTTTGAATATTTTGCAAGTTGAAAGATGCTGATTGTCTTTGAATGGGTTTTACCATTACTATTGTAAATTAACATATATTATTTTACCAATAGTTATTTATCATCTTTTTGAAATTTTGTACTTACAGGTTTTGAAGATTGAAGCTACAAGTCAAGATGCAAGTTTGGAAGATTGGAAGCTACAAGCTCATTATTATTTTGCTAAGAATGTTATGTAAAACTTGATATCATAGTCTAGCTCAGGATGTTAGCTAAGTTTTTTTGTTAAGGTATCGAGCAAATACTAAAACTAACATCATGGGATGTTAACATTGCAATTAATAACTTTATTACCTTTTTATATCTAGATTTTTCAATAGCAATTTGATATTTATTGATAAAAATAACTTTTTTGTGACATCGAGCTTTAGGAATACTTGTGGTCAATAAGATCGAGATTAGAAATATGGTCGTTAAAATTACTATAATTATTTTAAATAGGGACCAGTGCTGCTTGTCTCTAAAAGATATGTTACGACCAGTTAAAGACTGGTCGCTAAAATGGGTTAACGACCGAAAAATATATATTTTTCATAATATATTTGCCGTCTAATAGGGAGGGGAAAGGTGGTCGCTAAAGCTCTTTTACGACGAAAAAATATATAATGTTTAAAATATGTTAATTGTCTACTGGGACGAGATATTTAGTCTCTAAAGGCTTTTAAGGACCAGATTTTTCATCTGTCGCAAAAGACAGTTAACGACCAGAGTTTTGGACCCGTCGTTATTGGCCTTTAGCGGCGGAAGCTATTGCGACCAGTGGCGACCAGTTTTTTACCGTCGCAATAGGTTTATTAGGACCAGATTTGGACCTTTAGGGACCATATTTCCCTTCATTAAAGGTCGTTTTTCTTGTAGTGCTTGAAGCTCTGGTTTATGCTACTTATATTATTAACAGGCTTCTACATCAAAATTTGAAGTTTTCCTCACCATTTAAATGTTTATTCCATAAAGAGCCAGATTTAACCATTATAAAAATATGTGGGTGTCTTTGTTATTCACGTACTGCCTTTGATCATGGTCATAAACTCCATCCAGGTTCCACTCCTTGCTTATTTGTGGGAATTTATTCCGATTACAAGGGATACATATGCCTTGATCCTTCAACTGACAAAGTGCTATTTTCTAGGTATGTAAAATTTGTAGAAGATATATTTTCTTACCCTTTTATTTTTCCAGATTCTAACCGTGCTAAATTTCTTGGAAACTTTGATTTTTCCCCACAACAACCTCACTTACATCATCTCCTTTCATTTCTCATTCACACTATATTTGGACTAAAAACCCAACAACACTCACACAAGCCCCGCGGAAGGGCCGCATCCCAAGAGGTGTAATGAAGACAACCTACGCTATGCAAATATTATAGGTTATATGGAGACAACTTTACCATTTCTCCGAAGCTCCCCTTTAATATCACATTCAATTACAACCGATAACGATGAGACACATTATTATTATTATTATTGTTGTTGTTGTTATTATTATTATTATTATTATTATTATTATTATTGTTAGTAGTAGTAGTAGTAGTAGTAGTAGGGAATGTGAAAAACTTTCAAAAGATTTCCATACATCGAAAATAACCTTCTGTCTTTTTTAAAAAGAAATATCATCCTGAAATGAAGCATATACTACTGACAATTTCTCTAAGAATAAACTATCACGAGTATCCTATGTTAAGCATATATGCTCACTTTTTGGCTTCCTGATCAGCAGAAAAGAAAGGATAAAGGACTATTTATTTTACTTTCTTCTTTATTTTCCCTTATCTTATTTTATCCTTTTTTTTTTCTACCTTTTCTTAGTTTCTTAGAAGCAAAGGTACTTGTTTTTTCCAATTTTTTGCTTTCCTTTTCCGTCGTGTCAAGTGTGTATTAAAGCAAAGCATTACGCTTGTAATTGTTTACATCGAGAGAAGGTTTCCAACTTTTTTTGGTGGAGCCGTATTGCCTCATTGCCTCATAGATAATATCATTTTTTAAATAAAAAATTAAAATATAATGTTGAAAGAAATTTAACAGTCCTTTGGTATATGAGATAAAATTAATGATTTCGGGATAATGTTTGGGATTAACTTTATTCCATATTTGATTTAGAGTGCTAGCTAATCCCATGATAACTTTTACATTAAAATAGTGAGATTAGTTATCACATATATGTTAGTGACAGTTGGATGAATGACGAGATGACACGTGAAAATGAAAACAGGTAAGATGTGTGTCAGCAAATAGTTGGTATTGAATACAAGCATGAGAGATGGGTGTTGTGTAAATTCCGAAGGCATGGGAACCAATAACAACGATTTGAGAGGAAGACATCGGTTTGGAAAGACAACATTCAATGAGCAGTCGTTACAAAGAATCTCTATGTTTATAGCCAACCGTTATGCAGTCATCAATAGCGGTTTTATTCTCATTCAAGAGTAGCTTGATTATTAGAGGATCTTTTCTCCCCAAATAAAGTTATAAATAGGGGAATTAGTATATATTTGTAGAACACGAAAAATCATCTGTACTCAAAATTAAATTTCTGTTATATAACAAAGTTTGATTCGAGGAAAGTTCTCAACAGTAGCAAAAACCATAATCAGGTCAAGTCAGCAACTCAAGAAGATCTGATATCTATCTAGGCTAATTCGTGTGAAATGGATACAATTACAAAATATTAATGAGAGCCTGTCAAGAGGGAGGCTCCTAACCTTCTTGTGGAAAATCCATGTATTTTCAAGGAAAAACTATGCATAAGAGAGTAAGCATTCCATGATCAACATGTCTAATAAATAGCTATTTACTGAAATACTCGAGCGAAGCTAAGATCAAGGCAATACCTTTTTAGGTTGTTTCACGTTGTTGTGAGCTTGTTTTTTTAATCATTCTGTTTTCTGGAGAATGCCTAGAACCACTGAATTTGGAAGTATGAGTGTGTGACATGAGGAAAGAAAAAGACAAAGTTGTTTATCTATAGTAAGTTTTAATAGTTCTTAATATTATTATGAGTATTTACATAAATAAGGAAAAGTTTAATAATCCAAATTTTATTTGATTTTACAATCGTACATATTAGGAGAATAATTAAAGTATAACTTTGTCTACTATAAAAACTACTTTTAAATGGTAAAAAAGACGAACAACATTTCGCTAAGGGCATTCGTGCTTTTAATATAGTATAGATATAGATATAGATATAGATATAGATATAGATTGCTTTTGTTATGTTGAGGAAGAGGCAAACCCGAAAATAAAGAGGATAAAGAACACCAAATTTTAACGTGGAAAACCTTTCAAATCGAAGGTAAAAACCACGGGATCAGAAAGATCCAAAAAGCTCCACTATAACAATAAGAGGGTTACAAAAGTTCTCCAAATTGGCTACACAACAAGGGTCAAACACGGAGCAACAATAGCAACAACTAATCAATTGAAGAAAGAGTATAATCCACAAACACGACGCTGCTGGTCGAGGCTCGAAATCAGATGTTACGTGCCTCCAAATCCGATCTCCACCGTTCAAATCCAAGACCAAGATGTTACGAACACTCAGTCAATATTTTAGCCCGATCCAACTGTTAACGAATCGGTAAACGTGATTTGAAGCTGGCTGGTCGGAATAAAAATCTGCAGCAAAAACAAATATTTTTCTTCTCTCTTCTCTCTTGATGAAAGCTCTCTCAAAACCCACTTTTATGTGCTTAAGTCTTTCAATGAGCATTTAATAATTCTCCAAGGTTGTCCTATTTATAGATCATGAGTGGTGCTTTCTCTTAAAGCCAAATCCAACTCTAAATAGGAACAAAAAACCGAATCCAATTCTGAATAGGAATGGAAACCAAAAGAGAATAGGATTAGGCCATTAGGCCTCTGGCTGGACAACATGGGCATGTGCCCAACAAACTCCCCCTCCAGCCAAGGGGCCAAATGTGTCTTCAAGTAGAGGAACTATTGACAGGCTTCATGCCTGCCAATTTTCTACAAAATTCATGTTTATCTGCAACCACACTACAAAAAAACGCTAAATTTGCGGAGGTTTTTTTGCGGAGGTTCCTATAACCTCCGCAATTTATATCAAATTGTGGGGGAATAATTACCCCCGCAAATATATTATATTTACGGCGGTCGGTAACCTCCGCAACCATTAAAAAAAAAATAGCGCCCCACTGACCCCAATTTTTCCCTCGTTTTTTAATCCTTTCCCTCTCTTTTTTTCCAAAACCCCTTTCTCATTTTTGCTTTTTTCATTTTCAGAAACCCTCGCCCACTCTCACTTAACCAAAATCCATAGCAATATTCCATCTTTTCGTTCAGTTAATCTCTTCCTTGGAGGTTTTCGTTCAGTTAATCAAAATCCAGACCAAATTTCCTCCGATTTCAAGCTCATGTAGTTGAACAATTCCAAATACAATGGCTCTCTGCAGCGCCTCCTCTGTTGCAAAATGAAAGAGATATGAAAGAAAATTTTAGATCTATCAATCAATTGTATGTAAGTTTATTTGATTTTGCTCTATCATCTCTTCGATTTTGCTTTAATTTTGTTTTTTTGTCTTTCTTTCTTCATGCATGTGGGTTTTAAGTTTATTTTCTCTGTTTATTTGTAGAATCGGTATATTTTGAAGAAATTTGGTAGAATCGTTGTATTTTAAATCGGCAAAAATTTGGTAGAATACGTGTATTTTGAAGAAGGATATAACACTCTTTGTTGAAATTGAGATGTAAGTCATCTTTCTCCTTTTGCATTAGGTTATAAAATTTAGATTTTTTGTGTATTTTGTAGGTTAATTTATGTGATTTGGGTCTTAATTTAAATATTCCTTTTGCATGTGTATTTTAGAGCTCCTGTGGATCTTCAGAGAAGACGCAATTGTCGCCGACTGCTTTTCCTCTTTCTGCTCTACGTTGTGTTTGAATCAGTCTCAAGGTACATTTTTTATTTTTCTGTAGGTTCTGGTCATTTCATTCAATTATTATATCTAAAAGATTAGCTTCATCTTGTTATGCTAAAAAAAGTTCCTTATGATTTAATGGCTTAATATATGATTCACAAATTGTGTAAAAGTGAATATTGAATCTCAAATTATTATTGACTGCAAATTCTGAACTTCTAGAAACAAGATTATTGGATTCCTTTTTATTTCTATTAGCTGTTGTGTTTTCTTGGATATGCACCTTCTGGTTTGTGTACAAATTACAGATTGCACAGAATAATGTTCCATTTTCTCTTGATCTTCGGTTCTGCCTTTTTCTCAATTAAAGAACTTTGTCGTTCATTATTTTTGATCGTTAACATTGAATTTAGTTAGTTAATATCTCTAAAGATGACTGCCAAACACCTAATCAAAAACTATATGTTGTTATAAAAATAGCATGAGGAATTGTTGATCTGTAGAGTAATCTTGAAGGCTAGATTGGCAAGGAGAATGTCACGACCCGGATTTCCCACCCTCGGGAGTCGTGATGGCTCCTACTAATAGGAGCTAGGCAAGCCAATTAATTTAACACTTCTCTCAACATCATTAACAAAATAAAGAAGAACGAGACAATTAATATAAAAGCGGAAGTCTCGAAACATAAATAACAGAAACCAAGTGCGGAATTTCAAATACGCCTCTACCCAGATCTGGTGCCACTAACTCACGAACTTCTACTGAATGCTAAATACAAAGTCTGAATGAGAATACAGTACTGTCTGATCCGATACAAGGGAAATCAAACGAAAGACAGAGATAAGAGAGACTCCGGGCCATGCGGACGCCAGCAAGCTACCTCGGAATCTCCGGACTGAAGTAAGCTCCCAACGCTCCTACCGCTGACCAAAGGCTCCTGCTCCGGTACTATGATCTGTGCAAAAAGCACAGAAGTGTAGCATCAGCACAACCGACCCCATGTGCTGGTAAGTGCCTGGCCTAACCCCGGCGAAGTAGTGACGAGGCTAGACAGGACCTACCAAAAATAACCTGTGCAGATATATATATATACAAAGGCAACAGAAATAACAACAGAGAATATCAACTAAAAAGGGGGAAGGGGGCATGCTCGGGGAAAAATACAGCGAATACAGATCAACGGATATAACGACGAGACTATCTCAATACCATAACTCATATATAAGTGGTCGGCGCGCCACACGATCCCATTTCTTAATTCATAAGTGGACGGCGTGCCACACGATCCCATTTCATAAATATATAAGTGGTCGGCGTGCCACACGATCCCATTTCATAATATATAAGTGGACGGCGTGCCACACGATCCCATATTACAATCAAAATATATAACTTTGTAAAGAAGGCCCCACTAGGGAAATTCAACAACAGAACAATTTAACCCGGCAAGGGTACAACTAACAGCCCAAATATCCCGGCAAGGGAGAGTACATAATATAGTCTACACGTCCCGGCAAGGGAATGATCACAACACATCCTCTTCTAAATCACTTCTTTCTCAACTATCACATTCTTGTTCGAGCCAACGCTCCAAAATATACCAATCACAATTCTTCCTCAACCGTTCACATTATATGAAATTTATCAATTAAACAAGGAAATTATGTCACATCATTCGATTTAAAAGCAATTAAGACTCATGATCATGCTAGACTCCGGTGCATAGACAACCGTCACCATGCCTATACACCGTACTCCACATTTAGCAAGTAGAAAATAACATCCTAATCCTATTCCCTCAAGCCAAAGTTAGAACAAACACTTACCTCGGTCCAAGAATAGCAATCAACTCTCTAGTACCGCCTTTCCTCTACAATCCAACTTCGAAACAATGATATCTAGGCATAATTAGTTCAATAATATCAATAAGGGCTCAAAAACATAATCCCATAGCCTAGAAATGAAATTCCAATCATTCTTCCAAAAACACCAAAATTCGACACCGGTCCCACATGGCCCAAACACGAGGCTCGGACCAAAACCCAATCACCCATAACCCCACGAGTTCAAATATATAATTTATTTCAAGATTCGATCCCAAATTGAGGTTGAATCACCCAAAATCCCCAAAGCCCTAACTCTACCCAAAACCCCCATTTTCTACTTTGAATTCATGATTTAGGGCTAGGAAATTAGTTATTAGTGGGAGAAATTAAGAGGGAAAGAAGTTAAGAACACTTACCTANCAGGCACCAGAGGAGCTTTCGTGCCGTGAAAAGGAGCGTGAGAGGCTTACCTCGGGGCTGCGAGAGTCGGAGGCTTACTCTGTCCGAAAGGAGAAAGAGTTAGGCGAGCTCTGGGCTGCCTTGGAGGGAGCGCTTAGGGAAAGGGCTGAGCTTGCTGAGTAGGTATTTTTTCATGCGTTAATCCGCCCTTCGCTCCTATAGTTTGATACTGACTGGCTTATCTTTCTCTTTGCAGATCGGGCAAAAGGATTCCAGATCGGGCAACTGAATGTGGAGATCCTCGGGCTGAGGGAGCAAAATGAGGAAGCGACCTCAGAGTTGGCATCGACCCATGTTCTCCTCCAAAATGCTCGAAAGGAGATTGCTGTGCTAGTTGCGGCCAAGTCCGAGACCGAAGGAAAAGTTGCTACTTATCTGAAAGATGCAGCCACGGCGAACCAAATAGCCCGTAATATACCGATAGAGGTCGAGCTAAAACTGGCTCGGGTTATCGATCATGCTAGAGCGAAGGCGAAGAGTGAAACCTTGGAGGGGTCGGAGCCAGAGGTGTCGATCTTTCAGTCGAGATTGAGGAGGCCCGAGAATTGGAGAGAAAGTCGGCGCTCTTGATCTCTCCAGATGAGGATCCTGGAGATGGTTCAGAGGATAGTGGCAATGAAGAGTAGACCTCGTGTCGCTTTGCTCTTTTTCTTTTTTCTTTCGTTGTACGTACTCTTGGGGAAATGAGTCTTGTAAAGACACCCCTTGTAAACATATTTTTGGATATACGAAAGGGTTTTTCTGCTCCAAGTCTTTCCATTCTTTATGTCTCGCCGCTCTTGCGGAGTTAACCTTTGAATTTCAACATTAGCTCTTTGGAGCCCGTACTTGGAGCGATCGGGACCCCGGGGTGGTCCTGCAAGTACATTTCCCAAGAAAAAGGTGACATTAACTTGGCCAGAATTAATTGGCCCTCTGGGTAGGCGAGCAGACGCTGCTTTGCCCCTATATATCCGTTCACTAGCTTCTCAAGTGGAGATTCTGCTACTCTGAGTAACCATTTCTTTCATAGAACTTGGTGCTTTGTGCTAGCTCTCCCGTCGTTTCAATTCAAAATCTTTGCCCAAATCTATGCCCTCCTCTGCTTATTTTATCATAGCCATGACTGCTACATCGACGTCTGCTCATCAAGCAGAGGGGAGTTCTGCCTCTGTTCCGCGTCCGATCGGCGGTACACCGTCAGTGCCTGGTGAGCAGGCCTCGAGGTGCTTTGTCTCGATGAGAGACTTTACGTTGGAGAGGCCTCTCAACGTTCAAGGACATCGGTAGCACGCATTGAGGGTCATCTCATCAGTAGGGGAGGAACACCTCGAAATGATCAGAAAAGATTGCGGATGGGGAGAAGGTGTGGTGCTACAAGTACCTTCCTCCGAGGAGAGCATCATGACCTATGTCGAGGGGTTCTTGAGCGTGTATACGCATTCTTTTATGTCGGGTCCCCCCGACTGGGTCGTGCTTGAGTTCTATCGGAGATATCGAGATACCTTGGCGCGGTCTCACCCATCCCCTTGGAAGATAGTGCAGACAATAAGATACATCGCAGATAAGGTCGGGCTCGAATTTACCCTCAGTCATCTTGTGAGGTTATATCGGCTGCTGCGTTATCGGGGTTTGATTACTCTGCAACGTCGATCCACCCGTCTTCCTGCCGTTAACGGTGAAGAGGGCGAGGACCGGGGATGGATGAGCCGGTTCGTTCGAGCTCGGACGATCGATATCATTCCTGGAGAGTTTTTACCCTTTCCTGAGAAATGGAATTTCACACGTAGGTGCCATACCTGTATTTTTATCACTTTGATTGAAAGCGGGCTTCATAGCGACATTTTCCTGATTCATTTTTTGTAGCGACTCCTTGGTTACCGAATGAGGTCCTTGATTTGGCTGAATGGTCTCGTAAGCTGGCAGCTTACGAGACCTATGATCAGCGCAGGTGGCAAGACCTGTCCAAAGGTAGATGGGAGGCAAGGCATCATGGTAGGCGCTTGGAGGCCTTTTTCCCCAAAATAGTACTTTTCCTTTTAGCGTATTAACTTAGCCGCTGCAGGTATTGGAGATTTTTCGGAGATGAGGCCGTGCCCTCTGGGGGAGGAGGAGAGACTGCCGACCTCTGGGTTGAGGGTCGATGATGAACAAAAAGGGTCTTCGGGGTGTAAGGAGGCATGCTGCGGGGCGAGTCCTTCTCAGCGGTTCAAAAGAGGTGATTCGATCGATCACCCGGTTTCGGAGGCCTCCGTTCTTGAAAGAACATTCCCCGTTTCTGCTGAGGGTACCTCGAAGGGCGAGGAGCACGTGGTGCCCCTTCTTTTCATACCAAGGGCGCTTCGGGGGACACTAAGACATCGGACATTGGCTTAGCCTTTGGCAAGGCTCAGCGACTCGTCTTTATGGTAAGCTTTGGTAGCCGGTATAGAATTATTCCGGTTTCATGTTCTTCCTTTCTTATTGAATTTTCTTTCGCAGGCCTTTGACAGACTTACGTCCGAGCTGTTTTGCTACGAGGCTAGGTTGCGGAAAGCTTCGGTTAGGGAGAAGTCCCTTAAGCTTCTTTGAAAGGAAAGTGAGCTGGTATCCCTGCGGTGTGAGGCGGATCAAAGCCGGAGCTGTTAGGGACGCCTCGAGAGACAGGTATCCTGTATTTCATGTCGACGTATGTTCCTCCTTATTTCTTTGAAGATTAATGTTTCGATATCCCAGCTGGAGAGCAAGACGGAGGAACTGGAACGACTTTGGGGCGAAGTTGGCCGGGCCAAACA